ATCTATTTTATAATAGTTATAATAGACATGATACGCGATAATCAATTTATATGGTCTCACTCGATTGCACAAGAGTAAAAACTTCGGGGGCCTTTCGGAGGTCGTCGGACATACTCATCACTCCAACTTCTAAGTTATGATGTAGTTTTTAACTGACAGGTTGTACCATGCATTAAACATATACTCTTAATAAACCTGTTATTATTATATTGTTTTATTAGAATCTTTCCGTGAAATTGCTTTTTTAAGACACGTGAATCGTAAAACGGCTTTATTTTTCGTTGTGAAACGTGATCCATACCCCCCCCCCCTTTCCCACCCTCAAGGAATGTGCTGAAATTTCGTATTTTGACCTCGATTTTAAAGAGTAACACAATGGTTTAAATGAACTGATGACTTGTTTAGCGACACAGTCTGTTATAAAAAAACTTGGAATTAGCTGGGGAAAATGGTACTAAAAATGTTTACGACTTCATAGACTTTGGACGCCAATCCCGTCATCTTGGCTTCACTTTTCTCATAGACCAAAGAAGTTCTCGCTCCAAAAAAGCTGCGTCGGAACTTTCTGATTCTGCATACTGACAATCAACTGCATGGACTCTTGAGCAAGAACACAAATTATTTCGAATCTTTAATCATAGAATTAACTAGACTATCTTTTATAAAGCTGTGACTTGTAAAATGTTTGAAAGTTAAAAACACTAAACTAAATGTATATATATATTGTGTTAGTCCAGAAAAGAACCTTTAATACATTGAAATAGCCTGATTCATTTGTTTTCTATTATTACTTAGGTACCACAAAGTAAAGTTTGTGCGTAAGTGTTAATGAAGTTTTTAATACAGTGTTTCTTTTATAGTTTATTACATGAATGCATAACTGCACAAACGAAAGTTTAAAACTGGGGCTCTTGCATTATCGGCTCGTGCGCGAAACCATTGTGGACCAATTGCATCAAATGAACCAATATAACTACGAGCTAACAGAGTCACAATTAGCTGAAGCATAAATTGTCGAGGACTTCGAGACGCCTGTTGTTGCCGTTCGGACCCAGGGTCTGGATACCAGTCGTAGGCGCCAGTGCCTATAAGATACCCTGCGACAGCAAAAAACAGATAAAATTGAATTTGCCACCAAACTCCAATGTCCCCCCAAAGAACTAGTAACGGTGCCAGAAAAGCAAGCAAAATACCCACGCCAGATCCAACTCTCCCGCCGGGATTTGCCGAGGAGACCCATAGATAGGTAATTCCAAAAAAGATGAGCACCGCGAACACGAGTTCTCGTAATATCATAACGCCAATCTCTGGATTCGCAAGAAATCTATCAAGCATCAGCAAATACGGAGTCAAAGCGGTTGTTATATTACCATTGTCGGGATTGAGCAGCGCATTTGTAATAATGAGAAAATTTCGAGTATTTAGGAAACCTCTGCGAGCAGGGAATCGGTGCCGGGGCTTTATAACAAACGTACTTGCAGGGAGGTGCGTCCAATCCCGGACTCACCGAAGCTGCAAGTACGTTTGGTTTTTATCCCATACACCGAGCCATACACACATTTGTAGCTCTTCGCGATATATTCGTCGTCTCGTCGATGTT